GGCCCCTTCCGCCCCGAAAGCCGACGCTCTATCCACTGAGCCAAACCGGTTTCGGCTTGACTGGCTTATTTCACTTAGCATAATGCTCTCCAAGTCCATCCATGCTGTTGCAAATGTTAAGAATTCCTTCTTTTTTAAAGCAGCATAGTATTCCATCATGTAGATGTACCACAGTTTTCTAATCCATTCATCTGCCGATGGGCACTTAGGCTGTTTCTAGATTTTAACTATGGTGAATTGTGCTTCTCTGAACATAGTGTTACATATATCCTTTATGATTGATGTTTCTGTTTTCTTGGGATATATTCCTAGAAGTGGGATTACGGGGGGGGGAAGGAGACATATGTAATACTCTTTGTAATACTTTAAGGAAAAAAAGTATATATATATATTTATTCTTTTAAAAAAAAAAGAGGGGAGGAGAGCCTTTAGCCACCACCACCACCACCCCATTTTAAAAGGGGAGGGATGTCTTAACCTCTCCTTTCTTCCTTTCTTCTGGCTAGAATATGGATTTAGCTAAGTTGAAACTGCCATCCAGGGCCATGAGATGACCTTGAAATGAAGGTCAGAATGTGGAGCATCAAATAGAAGGAGCCTGAGCCTTCACATAATGCTCCCCATTAACCCTTGACTGCTACCTCCAGACTCATAGATAGGATACAAACTTCTATCTGGGCTAAGCCATTGTCATTGGAGGTTGGTTATCTGTCACTCATAGCTGATCTTAATCCCAACTAATAAATAAACAATGACAACAAAAGAAACATTCAGAACTTTTAAAAACATCATTCTTGAGCTTTCTCTCTGAGGTTTGCAGTGGTTGCTGGGACTCTGTGAGGCAGAGCCCCTAGGGACGGAACTGAGAGCCGCCATAACTGCTCTCTCCGGCCCACCCTGTTGATCCTGTGCGACCCACCTGCCCCGCCCAAGCCCTGCACAGAGCCATTTGCCAGATAGCCTCAGGCAAAGGCTACATTAGCACCTCCCTAGAGGACAGAAGTTTTCCCACTGCAGACACAGCTGATTCTCACAGCCAGTTGGCCTGGAGGTCAAATCCCCCTAGTATTAACTACAACAATCAAGGCTTAACTACAACAAGACTGCGCACAAAGACCACTAGGGGGTGCACCAAGAAAGCATAAAAAATGTG